TCTGAGCCTCTTATTTCTTTCTTTCTTACAGCAGTTTTATAAACTATAGGCAAGAATGCGTAATTTGTAGCTTTACGTTTACCGAAGAGGGGGATGAAAAGCAAAAAAAATATTCAAGAAAAATTCACTTTGAGGGTGAGAATATCAAAGTGTTAGGATTCAGATTTGCTATTCTTAAAAGGTGTACTGAAAGGAAGCCGCTTGCTAGTGAGGTTTCTCGTACACGAGGAGTACTTATAGCATTGATGAACACGCAAATTGTTGGCTTTTCATTTTTAAGAAACAAGAGGTTTTATTATTTTAAAATCAAAATATAGTCATATTTTATATGCTCTGCTCGACACGAGCACAAGCATCGTTCCGTACTTTTGTGCCGTGTAAGTTTGTTAACTGCTCTTTATGAAGACTCAAAGGCACAACTTTTCGAGTCTTGGTCTTCTTAAAAAGTAGGGAATGCCTTAAAGATCTTTTTTGAGACGACTATCAAACGTCTTTTCTCACCCTGCTAGTCTCAGCCTAGTTGCTACTAAATTTTCAAGGCTCAACCCAATCAGAGATCACTGCCACCAGAGGAGCGCGCGCTAGATGAATGGTCGTGCCGGGGAAATAAGCCATACCGTAGAATTCACATCAAGTGTGATCTACAAGCCATAGCTCACATAGCGATATGAATGGCAAAAAGTGGGTTATGTGGATGCATACTCTCTTGTTACTTATATCTGAATTCTATGCAGAAATCCAGAACTTCCATTGCTTTCTTAGTCAAACTTTCACATAGGTAAAAATGGTACATTCAACAATGATTTTCGTTGGTCTTACGTTTTTGCCGTTCGTAGAACTATGCGAACTATAGTTTGTGGGTCACACTTGATGTGCATTCTACGTTATGGCTTACTTCCACCACCACTCACTTCTGGCGCAGACTTCTCTTGCATAGCGGCGGTTTTCGGATAGGTTCATCTCCTGCCGTTATGATCTCTGCAGTAGTGGGATTGGGAGAATGTTGAGAGCTAGCTGGATGAGAATCGTTTGATTGTCTGAATTATTTGGCCTGTCTGATAGTAACTTTGTCTTAAACTCATAACCGCCCTTAAAAATTATTGCAATGTTTCATTTGTCTGCTCTTCTTTGTCTTACAACCAATTTGGTTTATTATTACAAAGAGCCAAGAAAAAATCTCGACAAGTAGTAACTTACAAGTATAAGAAGCGTCTCACATACTGATCGAAATGGAGGAGATTTCATGACGAACGAAACAACACCGTCTGGATAGTCACTTATTATGAAATGTAAATACGTGGTAAATGTTCCAACATGTCAAATTTTTCAAGTTAGCAAGTAGGCAAGTTGATATGTTAAGATATAATGTTAAGGTTATCAAGAAAAATCACCATAAAATCTTTGTGTCAGCGAATATGACGTTTGTTTTTTCATATTAATCATTTTCCTCTTTT